TACCTATAATGGAGTAGCTAACTAATACTGAAATATAAAATGCTATAAGAAATGCAGATGTAAGACAGTCTCCAGGAAAATAATATTGTTTCGGCATTAAAATACCATCATCACGATACATTATATTAAACACAGAAAAATATAGTTATTAATAAATTAAGGAACATAGAAACGTTTTATCGTAGTTCCATTCTATGCATAACGGTTTTTGAAGAATAATGAATCAGTAATACGTTTGATGAAACGCCACGAAAGTAGATGGTCTACTTTCAAATTTATTTTTATACATGTTACTTGTGAAGCAAAATTACATTAAATACTTTTATATAAGAAATGCAGTAAAACAATGTGAACTAGGCTATCTTTAGATTTTTTTTCTAAAGCTGTATTTATTTCAAGGTTTGAGTGCCTCATTGTTGACATGCTCTTTAGTTATAATTATAAAATAAATAATAAACAAAAAATATATTTCCAGAAAATTGAAATAGGTACATAGAACTTCGGATAAAAGTCTGTTGAAAATGTATTAGTTTTAATTATCTTAGGTTTAGCCATACGTGCCGTACCTATAGGAGGTACCCCCGACGGCACCATAACCACTTGCACCAGCACCAGCACCAGCAGCAGCAGCAGCACCTACTTCTGCGCCTATGCCAGCGCTTATACCAGCACTGAGACCTGCAGAAATTCCACCACTAATTCCACCACCGATTCCACCATAACCACCAGCTCCCATGCCACCATAACCACCAGCTCTCATACCACCATAACCACCAGCACCCATACCACCATAACCACCAGCACCTATACCACCGTAGCCGTAGCCACCCATACCGCCGTAGCCGTAGCCTCCAATACCACCGTAACCACCAATTCCAGCATTTATACCAGCGCTGAGTCCTGCGTGGATTCCTGCTTGAACGCCACCGCTTATGTGACCATAAGCTCCTGCCGCAGCCCCAGCCCCAGCCCCTGCCCCGGCCCCAGCCCCAGCTCCACCATAAATCATGTTTCTCCTGTTATAATATTGTCGCAAGTAATTATTGCGTCGGTTGTTGTTGGCATTACGTAGTAAACGGTACTGATACTCATTTTTTGATAAACGCTTGGCTTCACAGACCATGGCCAAGGTGCAAAAAAGTAACTGAAATGGAAAGGAATTTTGTGAGTAAAATATTATAATCAAAAAAATCATTGGATACACAAGTCCAACATCGTTAAATAGTTAGTAGATAGTAAGTGTTACTTTCCAGTTGCATCTTCATAAAAATAGACGATATACTTGAACATCATTTTTAACCGACTGCTCTTTATCTTTGTTTTATTCACTTACACATGCATATAGGCAATATTTAATTATAAACTAATAATTATTATTAGTTTCTACTCGTAATACGGTAAATAAGAAGTTACTTACAAGGATTATAGTCCTCATTTTCGTTTCTTTCCCTTGAAGTCTAAGCCAAGAGTGACTCGAGTACCTTGCCTACATTTAAACTAACATCATTGATTTGTAAGCAATTCCTTTGTTTGTTCCGATTTCAAAGATGGCTGATAACAACAAAATTGCGATTAGTCTCGGAGCGGTAGTTTATTGTTTGATTGAATGTTATTATAACATTTCAACTTTATTCATATAATAGACTTGCGGCGACGCACATAGACTATTTGATGATGAAATCCAACTGATGACGTCACGCCCTGTTCTCTTGACACTGTTGGATATATTTGCATATGAAAATTACTCCATAAATTAACTAGGGTTTTTGATATGAAGGGGTACAAATTAATACCGCAGTCAGCTTCACGTCTAGCAGGCTGGTTTAAAGGTTCAGGCTAATCAGAGCTCCTGCGTGATCGCTGTCAAATGTATGTAGATAGTCTTCTGGATGGCTCTTACGACATTTGCCAAAAGAATAAGTTTGGTGATTAATGTATTTTCCTCTGCCATCAACACGTGGTATATAACTGTGTATCAGAAAAAATGGGGACAAAAAAATGGCATACAAATATTCCTTTTTAATTTAACAACGTCACATAAAATCAGTGAACGTTTTATTCGCATACCCAAGGATAACGAATAGTAACAATTTGGCCTAAAAATATTGTGAACGTACAATAAACTGTACTAAAATATTACAACAATCGGTTTATGAAAGAACTTATATTTTTCCCGTGTCAGAAGCTAAAAAAACTTACTTATAATACGTAAGTTGAAAAGTACCTTATGATAGTTTTTTTCTTGTATTCAAACATTTTTTTTTAAAACATCGCCTAACTCTAGAATTTTCTGCCGTATCGGGGGTGCGTTTACAAATATATAATTTCACATACACATTACACTCAGACCTGGAACAACAATCTGTGGATCACACAAAGAGTTGTTCCGTGCGGGAATCGAACCCGCGACACGTTGCGCGGCAGTCGGTTGCTCAACCACCGCGACAACTGTACAGTCAGACGTTGACGTGTCATTTGTTCTCTTTTGTGTTACAAATACAGCAGTTATAAAGGAACATGGTGTCGTGGTGGCCCGGAGGTTTAAGACGCCCGCTTCTCATGCATGAGGGTGCGGGTTCGAAACCTACCAACGGCAAGTACCAATGTGACTTTTTCCGAGTTATATATACTTTCTAAGATTATTTAGACACCACTGACAAATGGTGAAGGAATAGCACCGTGAGGAAACCTGGACTTATAATTTCTAATTATAAGTTTGAAATCGCCAACCCGCATTGAGCAAGCGTGGTGATTAACACTCTAACCTTCTCCGTGTGAGAAGAGGCTTTGCTCAGCAGTGGGCATTTAGGCTGTTGATGATGATGATGATAAAGGAACATGTAATTTGATTAGAAAAAAACATGAAGTTGTTCTTGACATTTTGAGCTTAACGTGATTGATATGTCATTTGTTTTTTATTTGTATTGAAAAATATTATGAATACCGTGTTGCATCTGTGGGACATTTGTGTCTTAATATTTTTGACTTGACTACTATAATTAATTTTAATGTCATAGTACTTTGCTTATCTTATTAGCAATTACAATGCTATGTTGACTTAAAGTAATTAAATATTTCTTACTCTTCATTAATACATTTTTAAGATGACTTCAAAACTTATTCATTTAAATTTGCTTTCCTTCCCTAGTTAGAAAGCTTAGTCAAACGAAAAATACAATTTAACAAACTCGGGAGTAAAAAATCATGAACTTTTCGACTGTTTTTGGGCGTCCATTTTGCGTTGATTAAAGTCATCCGAATTCTGCGGTCGGACGCGTTCGCGGTTCCAATCAAAATATGGAAAAGTGCAACCTCATTGGTTTCAGATAATAATTACTTTAATTTATTTCCAACGTGTGGTTTTATTCCATTTTCATAAGGATTAAAAGATGATTTTTTGATTGATGATAATGACTTTACTGGTGGACAGTGGGTAAATCATGACTGATCTATTTGTAGGATAAAATGAGTTATGAGACTCAGACTAAAAGGGCGCAAGCCTCACTCCACATTTAAACTTACATTTTATGTACCATGTAAACTTATATTGTAGAGAAAGCCAATTATTCAGTTCCAGTCCAGCAGTGAACTGTCTCGGTTTCTTGATGATGATAATGAGGAGGATGCAAAATATGTATACTGGGAACCACGTAAGATTCAATATTCGATAACAGATTTACCAAAACTATACTGCCAACAACGCAATATGGTACATTTTCGGTAGAAAATAATAAATAAATTGGTCGTATATCTTCACTATAGAGAATGCACTGGTGTGAATTAATTTATGAAACACTTGGTTGTCTCATTATAAGCTGGAGTTCGCATCGAAGTAAGTTTAGTGAAAGGCTTCACTTAATAAACTGCTACGGGTAGATAGTCTGGTGGAAATTGGAAGCAGTTGCTCTAGGCGGATAGCTAATTTAATTTTAATTATGGCAACACTTTCAACTGTTTGCCAAACAATGAGGAAACACGTGCTAACTAGCTTCCATGTTGCCATATGCCAACGCTTCAAAATTCGTATAAACAATAATTGTGATTTTGATTAGTAGGCTAATCATTTTATCATTTTTTTAAATTTGTTTTGTTGTTGCGCTCGCATCGCTAGTGCGAGGATTCACCATCACTTTTGGGGACTTCTCCACCACTACAACGATAATACATCCAACCGATTAGGATTCGAAAGACTTACGTCAAATTATTCTGTCAATGGCTAAATAATAAATATCTTTAATTATACGCAGTACTATCATTATAATTCTCTAAGTAATTCTCAGTAGTAGCACGAAATCTGGAATTGTGCCCGGTATATGGCAATAGGCTCACCTCCTATTATATGGGACTCATAACATAAATAGTAAAAAGTGGGTGTCATATTGTACAGTGGCATTAAATGCCGTGATGTGCACCTCTGCGTGATGTTATGTTATGTTTACTGCCATTACATTGTCCTCAGGGATTTGATCGGCGACGGCTATCTCTCCCAGCTGACTCTAGTTCAAACTATGGTACGGGGCAAGGGGGACTGAGATGCCGTCCCATCCTTCTGCGAAGCAGTCATGCTAGCTAAGGAAGCGTGAGGGAATGAATCTCCTAACGCCCCAGCCTACGACAGACACTCTCTCACTCTCTCACACTCACTCAGATCGCGGGACGATCTTCGGCCACCGTAAGCACGGGCCTGCGGACGGTGAGCACGAGTGATTCGCCTTTCGACCAGAACCACCACAAGTTGGGACCCAATAGGGCTAAAAGTGCAAAAGTAGGAATGGAGTGGTTTTTAGTCAGTAAGAATCTGACACTCACTCTCACCCGAACGGGAGAAGTCATTGGATGAATTTTCCCCTCAAAAAAGTACTGTCATTATATTTTTGCTAATTATTCGACACCCGAACAACATCGTTGTTAGTCTCAAGTTGCGTTAAAGTAAGTTTTGTGTTGAAACAGTTATGAAGTGCTAACTACTCCCGACTGTCTGGAAGGAAACTAATTTACCTAATTCTGCTAAACGAACAGGTAAGAGAATGGTTATATAATACTAATGATAAGCGTAATGCCTTGGTTAATGGAGATATACTTAGGATCTATATTTCATTTTCATTTCATTTCATATCTTATTTAGGGAAGTTGTAATTTGTTATTTAGATAATGGAATAAAATTGTAAGTAAATGACAAAATAACATCTCAGCATAATGACTTTGACTTTGACTTTGACTTTTCCCAAATTTTGTTTTAATGTCCGTTTGGTAGATTTAAAACATTAGACAAGTATTTTTTCTTTTCTCACAAAATTAAATACTTTTGAAATATCGTGTGATGTCACAACGTACTATATTTTGTAGTACTTTGTGACGCATCTCCTGCTCCTAATTCATCAATTCATTAACTCCATTTTATCCAAGTATTGTAACTATATACGATAAAAAAAATGTGTTTAATATTTTTTCATTATCTAACTGACGGACTAATTACATTTTTAATTTTCATACCTAGGCAACTATCCTATTGATTACCAATAACATCGACCATAGCCTGTGACGGTCCCCCGCTGCACTATGGTCAATATTGATAACAAAAACTACACAATTTCAAACTAATATCCCAGACATATCGAAGACAACTTAAAAAAAAAGTTGGCAATAAACATAAACTAACATAAACGTTTATCTAATCTTTAAATCTTGCCAATTCTCTAAAAGCTTCTCATAATTCAAGGCCTATAAATCCCGGATTTAATAACTAGCAAGGGAGCAATTTTCCACTAGAGTTACCGGACAAAACCCATACCCAGTAGTTTTTTTGTACCTTGTATAGGTGCTAGCATATAAAGCTGACCGAAATAGTCAACACCCATTAAATACATTTTCAACTATAACACAAAAAGCTAAGGTTGAAATTCTAATAAAAGATTTCAACAAATAAGGGTACTTTGACGTGCTGATGTCCGTATCTAAAGTTTTTTTCCGTAATTTCCACATGCTTTGTACAGAACTCTGTTAGTGTTGTGATTCGGAGCACGATCGGACCTCTTTATTAACTCAGTTCGGTAACTCAATTTGGCGTTGAAGGGATGACGAGAACTTGCGTACGTGTTACGGCAACTGTTATGTTACACGACGTATCCGAACGAACTCGGATCACTGTGGTGACTTGGTTATCGAATGATTGTGGGTCCCGGTTCTGTTATTGAATATGACTGTAGTGGAGTGACCTGATTTCTATTTTGAGGTTGTCAAGGTTGATTTTCGTGTGATGGGAGGATGATGTACTCTTGTGAGTATATAAAGGTACTGTTGTTGAGACTTATCATGTTTTTATATTAAAATATTTTTTTATTCTTCACAGACTCGCGTCCTTGTTATTAAATTATATGTTCTTTTTTATATTGAATATTAATTACTATAAAAATCTTACATGCTACGTAAACTAGACCTATCATATTGACAATATAGACTTGGTAAACCAACAGAACAGGTTA